AAAAGTCTAGAACCACATTTATAGTACATGTATAACTCCATTTATAGCTGTTTAAAGTGGCATGTCAGTTTCTGTCTATGTTTTGGACAGAGATGCAACTATTGAATTAGTTGACCCTTCTAACTGTAAAATCATCTTAATATGAGAATAAAAAAGTTGTAGATAATTCATGTATCTAGCTTCTGTTAAAATTTGGTGGTATTTGGCCTTGTGTTTTGTGAGTTATGCCTGTTTAAAGTTGGGTTTTAGAAATTGCTGCTTCTGTCAATTGTGGACCAGTTTCTGTAAATAGGTATATTTGACTTAGTTAACTTGAGAATCATGCTAAGATGATTAAAGATGAATTGTAGAAAATTTTATAAGCTTTTCAGATTGTCTTGTTGCATGTCTTTTGGATTAGTACAACTCCTGTTATGAGTAAAATTAGCTGCTGCTGTTTGCAGCCTTGACTCTATGATTGCCGTGAATAACTGGTTTGTCTCGAATGCTTATGTGATGCATCTTGTGTTACCATTCATACACTTGCATATTGCATCTCATCTAGGTACGCTAGATGAACCACGTGAAGGACATGATGTTGGAGCCAAGCTCGAAGTTTGGGTTTGGTGGATCTATCCCGAAGATGGAAGGACTCAGCAAGTGCTAGGACCGGAGATGTCACCAAGACGGTGCAAGCTAACTGAACTGACTAGTGTTGGATCCCAGACAAGCTCCGGAGCATTATAAGCCTCCTAATTTATAAAAGCAATTCTTTCTATATATATGAGTTTATATATTGTTGCATTAAGTTGTAGGAGTGGATTGAAACCGTTGATGCATTTATTACTATCCTTGTCTACCTTATTACCTTTTACCCTGTTAGGTCAGGATCGAATAACTGCTTAGCCTTGTTTAGACCGATAGCGATCGGTGATATCCGGTCACCTACATTATAGGTGGTTACTGAAAGAATTTAGCTATGGAAAGAATGATATCCTGGAATTAACCCTCTGTGATGGATAATTGGAGACCGGACAGAAAAGTTGGAGGCAACGAGACAGGGTTCTGGGGTGCTGTTAGTTTCCGTCTGTGTCGATTAAGGACCGACCGTTGTTGACCCTCAGGTCATGTTGAATGCATGCCTTACATTTAGCTGGCCGAATAAAGTACCTTTCGACCGCGAAGCTGGGAGATTATTCGGGCCGAGTAGATTGCCCGCAGCGCACTGTATCGGAGCAGGTGTGGTAGGACACGGGGGCGCGATGATAAGACCGAAAGGCAGTCGGTCGGCCCCCGGGTACATGTGGTTCCTGGCAAACTCGAGATTTTTCCTAGATAGTTGACTCGGTGACCGATACCTCACTTTAGCGGGTGAGTGAGGTTTGTGTAAGGAATAAATTACCAGCTGGTTAATAATCTATTCGAATCGCCATCGTTCACTGGATAGTGAACACTTGACTTGAGTTACTTTATCGTAGTAATTATTATGGAACAATGATGGTTATCTAGATGGTATGGGATATGCTAAATCTAAATTGGTAACTGGATCGTTATTGGTTAATCAAGTGATTGCTATAGTACATGTACTTACCTAGATGGATAGGTCATAATAAAGATGATGCAAAGTACTTAAAATAGTTTCTTCATGATAGCTTATGCTTTTCGCAAACAAGTCAGCTAGCCCACTAAAGAAAGCCTTACATAATCCTTGGTGTCACTTTATTTCTGGTTTACGACGGGTAAGTCTGGCTGAGTACATTCGAGTACTCAGGGTTTATCCCACCTTATTGCAGGTGATGTTCTCGACCTGTTGATGATGGTGGCTAACCGCCGATGGGCTCAGTGATTTTATACTTACTTCTCATCTATATGCTTTTGTAGGACGATGTCACTTATGCTAGCAATGTATTTGGAACTTATATTAATGTAATCATTTGAAAGCTATGTTGTTTTCTCATATCGGTTTTAAAACCCAAACTTGTACTATTATTTGTGAACCCAATTATAATATTATTTCCGCTGCAACTCTGCGTATGTGATGTGTATTTGCTTAATCACGCGATCTTGGTTGTGATGTTGATTTACCGAGGTCTTTCGGGACACTCGGCGGACTATTGAGTTTACATAAGTGAAAGTAGGTGTGTGTCAACGTGTTAGCGGGGACAACCGTACTTGATCTTGTATAAATTAGGTGGTTCTGTCACAGATTGCTCCTGGGCGTGAGGATTTAATCGCATGGCGCTTTAACCTGAACAGCTTGTTTCCAGTGAAATCAGCCTATCATTGTCAATGGAATCATAGTTTTGGGAACAATGTCCATCATGTAACTGCAAGCAGACCGGGGACGGCACCATTATGGAAACAAATGTAGAATTTGTGGCAAGATCAAAATTTTTGGATGGTGTGCGTTTTATGGATGCATCCCGCGCTTTGTTACTTTGGCTAACAAGCATATTATAAATTCAGGAACTTGTCCTATGTGTCAATTAGAAGCTGAGGATGTTAGGCATGCGCTGTTTGCCTGTCCTCGTGCTAGAGGTTTGGAGCGCCCTTGGGATTGGGCAAGAGATCGAGTCGTTTCTGGCGGTGGATAGATTGGGCTTGGTTGTGATACAAGAGGCCATCAGACGGGGCGGACGAGATATGCAATAGAGCCATGTTGGATTGATGGAACTTTTGCTGGTATATCCGGTGGTAATGAAGACTGGCAAAAGTCCGTGGAGAAGACATTTAGTCTATTCGTCGTCGTAGTGATCACGAGAAATTATAATTTGGCACCAAAGAAAACTGCTGTGATCAACGAGGGTTGGAGGAAGCTACCTGAGGGTATCTTGATGATTAATGTCGACGCAGGTTTTGATGAGACCAAAGGATCAAGGAGCACGGGAGCGGTTGTCAGAGACTCTACGGGCGGGTTCATTGCTGCTTCACACAGTTACATTCCGCATGTGATGGATGCAGCCATGGCTGAAGCAGCTTTTCTGAGAGATGGACTATTGTTGGCACAACAGATCGGTTGCAGTCGTGTGGAGTTCCAATCAGATTGTATGGAAGTCATCACAGCAATACAAGAGGCCGATCTATGATGAATACCACCGGTATTGGAAGGATTTTCATTTTATCTCTATTAGTCATTGTATGAGGGAATGTAATGCTGTGGCTCATGAGCTAGCTAGCCATGCTTTGATAGGCAAAAACTATTTTGTTTGGATAGATGAACCCCCTGTCTCAATTTGGCAACCGCTTGTAAATGGTTAACTATTTTGTCCAATGAATAAAGCTTGCCGTGAGAAATTTTTTTTTTTTAAAATGACAAGGATTTAGTGCAATGATCAGCTGCTTGGAAGGGAGCTTCGCCCTGTTCGCTTATAGCTTATAAGTCGGCTGATGTTGTTTTGTTGTGAGAAAAAAACACTGTATTGTGGCTGATACGATCAAGCGAACAGGGTGCTTATCAGCGCCTATCTATCTGTACATATATACGCGCCTTGTACAACTGTCCTACTTGAGTCCATCATCTGTACTGTGTACATACATACGTATACGCAGCGTAAAGTCACAAACGTGCCTCGTACAACTATAGTAGAGCCTGATCTGCGACCTGTTCGCTTGGTTGTAAACGATTGTAAATTTTCAGCTAGAATAATATTTTTCTCTCACACCAAATCAACCAGTAGTAATAATTCACGATCGTATACGATCGTTTTAGCCCCAGCCAAACACGCTGATACAGTACTTCCGGCGATCTGATCCGACATGTGCAGTAGCGCGAAATTAAAGTTAGCCACACAGTTCACGAGGGCATGATGGTCCCGTCGGTAAACTCGCCGGTAAACAGATCTGTGATGTGATCCGTTCACCCCCGTCAGTAACAACCCAGCCTCGCGCAGCGCATACGGCTGCACCTTTCTAGCAGTATTTTGACTGACCTGGCAAGTAGTTCATTTTGGATCATCTCTTTGTTAATTAATTAATTAACTAATCCAAGCCGACGAATCAGAGGCGGCTGACATTCTTGGAATTTTACTATTCCATCCACGCCGTAACGGCCCCATGTGCCAGAATAGGTCTTTGGTTTCGTCCGGACCTGGGTCCCTGCTGAATTTCAGCTTCTGCCTGTAACCGTAGCAGTCCAACAGAACAGAACGGGATAAGAAGCTCCCGACATGTGGGGGCCATCGAATAGATGGATCCACAGGGCCCACCACCCAGTCTGGGCTCGCTGGTCCTACAGTCTGTATCCGTACCGTACCGTACCGTAGCAACGGACGGAGTGAGAGACTCGGCCGTCTTCGTCTTGAATGCTCCGGATCACATGGACGCTCAGGGTCCGCAGTTAATGGCGACGATCTACCCACCCCTGCCCCCGCGCGCATTTACTGTAGCTCATGCCATCTCCGTTCTCCACCGGGACAAATAAACTCTGTTTATTCATTACTGTACATACTACCATAATACTATCTTTTTTTATTTTTCTCTAGGTTTGGAAAATTCTCTTGGATTGCTCGGGCCGGGGTGTCGGGCTTCCTTCCGGGGCAAGCTTTTCAGGCCCAGTCAGCAGTCAATGGCTTCCTTCCGGGGCAAGCTTTTCACGGCATAAAGACCGTCTCCGACAACCGAGAGCATCCGGATCCATTCGTCTTACGGAAAGCGTTACACGCAAATGATTTAATTTTTTTTTAATCATAAGATTTAGAAGATATTTTTTTAAATAAGTCTTTATGAGAGAGGATATTTAGACTGTGCTGTCACATTCGAGAGAGAGAGAGAGAGTGAAGGATAAAAGCATCGAGGACTTTGTCTGCAGACACCGAAAGGTCGGGCAGCCGCAGAGGGAGAGGGCTGAAACCGCCTGCCTGCTGCGGTGCTGCCCAACAACACCCCGCGCCCCCCACTTCTTCCAGCAGCGCCACCTCCAGTCCAGTCCTCCTCCTCGCCACCTGCCCCCCTCGGCCCTCCCAAGTCCGGCGCGGAGAACCAACCGACCGACCAACCAGCCCGTCGTCGCTGTCGCCCGCCCGATGGACGGTAGCCGCGGGAGCCCCCGGATCCGGTCCACGGCCCTCGCAGCGGGCGCGGGGATGGATTACGACCTCGCCATTGGTGATCAGGGGTGAGTTGCGCACACTGAACAACCGCGCGTGGTTCTGGGCCGCACGCCGCGGAGAAAGGCGGCGCCTTGGTGGCCGCGGCCGGGGACGGAATTACTGTCACCAGTTTCTGTTCTCTCGCTTCGGCTCCGTCCCTGTCGTCCCCGTCGATCCCCAAATTTGTTCCGCTCTTGGTACGGGTGGGGTGGTGGGTGTGGTAGTACCAGCTGCGCCCCCTTTTTGGTGGGTGTGCTCTTTATGCGGCCTATGATGATGTTAAGGGAGCAGGATACAAGGACTACTAATACTGGGGGCAAAGGATCGTGTTCTCCCTTCTTTTGTACGAAGCTTTGCTGTGGCTTTTGCGCCTTTTCGGCGTGCTGCGTCCATAATCAGTTTGTAGCGATTGAGTTGTCTTGGGCTTTTCCGGTTATATAAACCCTAGCTGGCTCATGAAGATCGTGACAAATTTGGTGCTGTAGTGTCGATGCATTTGCTTACTAATCAAAGGGAATTTTGTTTTCCTTGTTATATCCCTTTGCATTGTTAGATTGCTATCACAAGTTTTTGACCTCCGCTGGTATGCTGTCTGATATTTACTGGACTCTGAACATTCTGGCCCCCCCCCCCCTTCTTTGTGGTTGTTGCTTGCCTTTCATGCCAGTTGTTATTTGGCACCGATGCTATTCATGATCTACATTCCTCCAAGCTTACCTTTCAGTTCAGTATAAACACTGTTAATATTTTTTACTCTTTCTGCTACATTAGCTGGACAGACTTTTATACCGCACATTTTCGCTCCTTGATCTAAACTTCTCAAGTTTCTTGCAAGAGTAATAACTTCTGATTGAGCTTGTCCTTGTGGAACTTCTTACAGTGAGTTGTGGGAATGGCAGAGTCAGGAGTATGATCTGCAGAAAGATTTACTAGCTGGTTTGCACCACGCCATTGCATCACTCATTCTGCCATAAATATATATATCCAAGCAAAGACCTGAGCACCTTGTATTTCTGATTTGGCAGCTCCATGTAGCAGCTTGTGGGCTGAAGCAAGCAACAATGTGGGTGACGATTGGAGCATGTTCGATGATCAAACACCAAATGTGGGTGACGGTTGGAGCATGTTCGATGAGCAAACACCAATTAAACATTGTGCAGACTTCGAATTCCAGTTCTGTGATATAGGAGGTAAAGTCTTGCTCTCACGGTTATGAAATCTAAAGTCATAAGCTTAAATGTAGATTCTGAACTATTTCAGTTCACACCAACTTATCTGCGCAAATGGTTTTCCACTGAATATCCTGCAAAGATCCCATACGATACGACCAGTAGCACCTCCTTTTAGATCTAACATATGTTATCTAATTCTCTCTGCTTCCTGAAATTGTGTTAATGACATTGTACTTCATATAGTTATAGTACCCTATAAATCCATAAACAAACATATAGAAAGCAGAATGACTAATATAGAAAGCTTATTATAGCAATTGTAGTGAGTACCTTTCCTGGTTACTATTTCCCCCTTGCATATGTTTAATCTGAGCCAAAAATATGCAACTAATATAGGAGTTGACCTAATTATTAGTACAATGGATTCCACTTGGTGTTTCCTAATTCTATCCCATCTGACCTTTTTGGCAAACACTTAACAAGGTGCTTCAATATCGGTTGCATTTTCTGACTAGTAAAAATGCAATGCAGAAATCATTGTCAAGGACTTTGAAGAAGGGAAAGAAACTTTACAGGCAAAACGCAGACGCATGCTGCAGTTCTGTCCAGAAAATGCTGAGGTACTTGCTCTTTAATGGATATATCAAAGTATCCTTACAAATGAAGTGAACTATGCATAGTGTTGTTGTGTCGGAAACTGTGTCAGTTTATAGTGGTAATGTTGTTCTGCCTTCATTGGTATAATGCCTTTCTATGTCTGTATTAGATGACATGTTCTATGACTGAAGATGGGCTTTCGGAAAGTCTTCAAGAGATGGATTTTTCAGGTATACCTTCCATCGTTACCGCTACACTTTTGGTGTTTAGCATGGGTGCGTTCTTTTCCATTCCTAATTATAGTGGTAATTCAGGTACTGACTGTTTGCTGAACTCGGATGGGATTGATGAACTGCCAGAAGAATGGCTAGTTAATTGCTCACAAGATATCGAACCTTGTTTACCTGCAGAAGAAATGTATGTGTTTCATTCCAATATTCATAAGCGCTTGGATTTATGAGTTGTTGAGTTCACTGTCATTGAAGATGAAGTATTACTACTTATGGTATCTAAACCTTCTTAGTAGGAATAGCCCTGCTGCTGCCACGGAAAATGCTGTCGATATCTCTGGTTGGTACAAACCTCTCATGAGATTTCATTCTTGCCGTTTATAGCAGATTCTAAATTGCTGATAGATGAACGCTATGCTTATTTTTCAGTGCATTCGAATTCTTCACCTCATCAACAGTCCATCATAGCCAACAACAATCCTGCACAAGCTAGACCTACACCGCTGAAAGGTGTGCCCAACTCTTGTCCATGTTTGCTTAAAGAATCATGGTTTTTTATTCTCCCTTTCAAGAACAGTATATATTGATTATGTAATGTATCCTGTCATTTGAACTCAAAAACACGCTTTCATCTGTTCCACAGCTGGCAAAAACATTATCGGATCAAAGAAGGTGAGAACATGTGTGGCCTTCCCGTTCGAGCTTGTCAAGCCGTGCAGCTTCAGTGGCGACGTCACCTTGAACGACATAAACAACAAGATCCACGCTCCACCACCGTACAAGATCAGGCACAAGAGCCATGAGGAGCCCAACTCACTCCAAGCCTCGGCTATCTCGGGGAAACCTGTGGTCCACAAGACCAAGATCCACACCGAGGGGGGAAAGGGGAGCATCACGATCACAAGAACTAGAGGCTAAGCTAACCATTTGTGATGCAAGCACAGTGGCTATGCTAATAGTTGATTCGCCTTTGCATTTCTGGCGCTCTGGGTTCGTCCCCAATTGGTTTTGTGGCCGGAGAGATGCAAGTAGAGTGCTTGTAGCATTTCTGTGCTTGCTGTTTATGGGATAGATATTAGGTAGTTGGGTGTTCGCTCACGCTTGTAGGGGTGTAGCAGTTGTGTGTTGTTTTCTGTTGTTGGAAAGGTGAAATAGTTGGGGTAGCTTGATTAATATGGACAATATTGATTTGGTGAGATTATATAAATCTGCGAGATGTGGGCTTGACGACCAGAACTTTGGTTTTGTTATCTGGATGGTTTTGCCTGAGCTGTTCTGAAACTATGCTAGACCTGAAGCCCAACTGCAGAAACAGTATGGTCCAATCTCCAACTCAAGGACTGACTCTAGCAGAAGAGCAACAAGGATTGGGCCCACGGATGCACTGCCCAGTTCTGTGGTGTCGCTGCTCATCGGCGAGAGCCCTGACTGATGGTGGACCAGCGAGCTCAGCAGGTGAGGAGTTGCCTCGCCTCGCATGCGTCATGGTCCCGAACGCCACCCTCTTCCTGTCTTCCTGTCCTGCCTGCGCCCTGGGCTTGCTGTCGGTGATATCTGTGAGGATTCGCAAGTGCGCCCAGATCGCATGCCGGATCCCTGGAAATGACGACTGATCTGCGCCCGGCAGCCGTCGTCCGTCCGTCCGGTCTAGGAGAAGACCGACGCTGTTGGATTGTATAACATGACGCACACAAACGCGCGGAGCCAGAGGTGAAGCGCAGCACCAGACACGCCAGGTCCCGGACGGACGCCAGCCATGGCCGAGGCTGAACTCCGCGCCATCGACGCCGCGCGTCCGTGCACGCTGCACGGAGCCGGGACCTGCTGCTCGACAGCGGCACGGATGAGTGATGACGCGTCGCGCCGTGCGCCCGTATACACTGGGGGTGCGCGTCGCTGCAGCACGGCGATACGGGTGGCGCCTGGCGGTGCGTGCCTTCTGCCCCTGCGTTCCACTGCAGCAGGTCACAGGTGCGTGCCTGCTGGCTGCTGCCGCTCCGTTCCACCGCAACCAGGAGATGAGCAGGAGATTATTAGGATGCGATCAGAGAAAATCTACGGAGAAAACATTCCCGTTGGCTACCGGACACAGTGCCGTCGCGTCAGTCGAAGTAGAGGTAGAGCCGCCTGTCACTGGCTGCCGTGTGGGCACAGAAACGCCACTCGCTTGATGGACATGGACATCGATGGATCGCCTCCTAGTAGTCCTATAGACTAGTGTAAGTGGCAGTCGCAAGTTGTTGGCGCCAACTTGCATTGGCTGTGAGACGCCAGTACGTACGCTACAACTACGAGGGAGCACAAGCCGGGGATCAGGCGTCCCTGCCCGCCCGGGCACGAGATCGAGCGAGCAAGCGCCTGAAAGTAAGTATTGTTAGCTGATTTTATGTGAGAAAAAAATATTATTACACCGGGAGTCCGTGGTGTCCAATCACCCGTCCCGCCCTCCTATAATCACGGCTCGTCCTGTTGCTGCCAAGACAAAGAAGTGTCCCAGCTGTCAGTTTTGGCACTTCGCTGCTCCTCCGATCCGGCCGGCAGATCCAATCCGAATGCCAGTTTTGGCACTTCTCCGGCGCGCGAGGCCGGCCGGCCTCGTCTTGTTCCGTAGCGCGTCGCGTTACATTACTGGCGTCCTCCCCAGTTTGCAGTCGCAGCCATTGCATGAACACTGACAGTCCGGTAAGTAACAGGTCTCGTGAAGCAACGGTACTAATTCCCTGTTTGCTAATCAGAGCGCCCTGTTCGGTTCTAGATAGATCTGCAGGAGAACGGCAAGCAAAAATTATCTATCGAGACTACGTACTACGCTGCCTCACCTAACTATCCTTGCCTTGGAGGCTTGGACACTGACACTCCTCTCATGGAGCAGTACTGATTATTCCCGGCCCTGTGCTGTAATTAAAAGACCTTAATGGCAAATCATGCAGGACTCCATATCAGACTGCAGTGCAGAGCAACAGGAGATGGCAAGTTAAAATGGTTAGATTGATGTCCACCAATTGGCTCAATTGGCTTTTGGATCCGCGCCCTGATCAGGGGCGTCCAACCGTTTCATGGTTGGTGGTCCCCCGTCACACATCGCTATAAAAAGAGAAGTGGGGGCCGGGGCATAAGGCATGAGAATCACCTGAGCCGCTAGACGCCCCACCTATGGTCCCTAAACCCTAAGCCAATCTAGTGAGGAGGCGTTGCCAGCGACGGAAAGACCGCCACCGACCACCGCCGTCTCTGCACCACCGCCACCATCGCTCGCGACTTCACCGCCGGACCTCACCGCGTCACCCACAAGGATGCCATGGCAAGCTCGTTTTCTACGAAGGCGACCGATGGTTTGCACCTCCACAACCCCTCTCTCTCACTCTATCCGTAAATCTCTGTACTAGTTCATGTTATAGGACTTGATATTTATCCCAAATATCAGTATACATTCTAGATCTATGGCTAGATGATCATGCAAGTCTATCAATGGTATCAGAGCATAACTAGGTGTAGATCTAGCTCATCGGGATAGAAAATCGAGTAGAAGAGTAGAAGTAGGGGATTCGATTTGAAGAAACGGATCGGACCCCAACCTGAAACCCTAACTGTCGGGTTCATAAACCCAGGGTCCTCGATGGGCCCACTTCCCAGCAAAAACTTGGCCCTGCAGCCCTATCTATGTTTTCACACGATCGGTTGCAGTTAGGAGTATACTAGGACATGGTACAGGTCATGGTTACGTTAGAGTTATGATGCTCACGCTAAAATTGACCGAACTTCGCTAGAACGTGTTGAGAACATGTCGTTGGCGCTCTGTTCATGAACCAGCACTTGTAGCGAGCGATCTCAGCCGCTCACCTCAACTAACTCACCCTACTCTTTTTGGCAGTTCATCCCAACTACTCACCGAGCTGCCGAAGCCACCAGCGCATAGCGCAAATATGCATTCAAGTAGCAAATATGCATGCATCATTAGCAGCTCATAGTACTAGCAGTGCTCAGCGAGTACACCCTATCGGTAGCACGCCATCACAGCAAGAGCAGGCCTCAGCTGCTGCCGCCCCCGCTAAGCACCATCGTCCAACTACCAGTTTCGTCGCATCACCCTGCAGCACCATCAAGGCCTCTGCTCGCCTCTGTCTGCCTCTGCTTGTCTCTGCTCCCCTTTTTCCCTCTACCAGGCAAGCAGCTCAGAGCCCTTACCACCAGAGCAAAGCACGCACGCAAGCAACGCAGCTCATCCTTGTCGCGTACGCCGTCAGCGCCACGGTCGCCCGGCCTTCACGTATGCGCATGAGCGCGCGAGCCCCACGGCCGCGCTGGACCACAGCCCCAGGTCCTGCTCTCCCACCCTAGCTCGCCTCCCTCTGCTGGCCTCGAGCGAGTCGATGCACGCCATGCCCGCTGCCCCACAGCACCTGCCAAGGCTACGCCCATCGTCGCCCTGCGTTGGACCTACGGCTCCACAGCGTTGCCCAACGGCGCCCGCGCGTGACTCCATCAATGCTCCTCCGCCGCTGCGCCGCCACCGCTCCTGGAGCATCATCGCCTTGTGGCCCGCTGCCGCCATTGTGGCCAGCCAGTCATCGGCGCTCATGGCTGGACCACCTCGGGACGCCTCCAGTGAGGCCACAACCCCCCCGGTGCGCCGTGGCCGCCCATCGCCGCGTGTGGCCATCGTGCTGAGCTCCGCCTCGGTCCGCGTCGTGGCTAGGCCGAGCCCGGTCGTGGCCATGCCCCTCCCCGCACCGCTCCGTCTCCGTTGTTGCGCCCCCGCCATGATAGCACCAGCCGCCGGCGAGCCGCCCCATCGACCCGAGAGTACTTCCCATGCCCCTACTCGTGCTCATGAAGAGGTAGAAGAAGGACTCAGTTGTGAATAGAAACTCTTACTGTGTTCACTTTGCAAAAATGCTAGACTCGTAGATTTGCAAATAGGGGCTTAGTTAATTCAGGGAAAGTCCCGGGGTCTTCGTGCATGATGGTCGTTGCGTCTGGGCTCGTGCACGCTGGGCCGGCCTGCCGTCGTTCCTAGGCCGCTCACGCCCGTGCCTCGTGGGCCGCGCCCTCGCGCGCTGGGTGGGTAGCTTCTTTGGCAGCTCATGCCTGCCAAGTGAGCCTGACACAGGCCACCATGGCGTGCTGCCCGTCTGGGCCGGCATATTATCGCCACGCCTTTGTTGTTGTTGCTGCGCATGACAATGTGGGTGTGGTGGGCAGAGTTGGCCCAAGCGGTCCTCTTCCTTTTCTTAGTCTTTTTTCTTTTATCAAAAACAGGGATCTTATAAAATTCATAGTAAATCATAGAAAAATCATAAAAATGTCAAACCAATTTTGTTAAGTTTCTAAAATCATGATCTATATGATAGTATATTTTGTTCGCATATGTTTTATATGTTTTTAGGGTTGCTCTAATTATTTTAACATGCTTTAATATTAATAAGATATAAACTTGTAGGATTTTTTGTGAGAAAATGATGATAGTGTTGACTCTAAAAATTTTATAGTAAATTCCTAATATTATTAGCTGCTTCACTGTAATTTTTGTAGTTCCAGAATAATTAGTTTGCTAGATAGATAATGGTGCCCTATCTCGAATAAAGAATAAACAACTAGGTTTGTTTAACTAAAAACACTTGTTGGGAAATGACATAATTCTTGATGATGTTGATGCATAGATTACAACGTTAGTCATTAGAGCTAGCTTGTTAGTTTGTAGTATGTACTCTATTTTAAGAGTTGTTGTTGCCTTGTTAATTAACTGTTGTATCATCTCTGCATCGCATTGCATACCATAATTGGAACGTCGATGGATCATGGAGTCGTCGGGAGTTGCTGGTGAAATAGTACTTTTAGAGATCGTGTCGCCAAGATGGAATGCTAACTTTTGGTTATATTTTACTTAGGCAAAGCCCCGGTGCATAATGCATACTTTT